ACTCCTTGGGCTAGTAGCCGCCTGGGTAAGGAGTCCAGGGACTCAGAGTCCTCCCATGGAACTGAATTTTCTCCTGGGGATGGAAAAACGGTGGGCAGGTAAGGGAGTCAGTGTTTGCCTGTGGTCTGGGAGAGATTTGTTCTGATCAGTTTCCCAAAGATGTTGCTTTTGATTTCTAGTTCAGAAGAGGCCCAGTTATAAAGTTTTTCACCACCTTCTGCTGGTGGCTGAAGGACCTGGGAGATTTTTGTGATGGGAACTGCAGCTGTTCGGTGGAAGGAGATGTTAGTAGGATGCCTGCAAAGGGGGTTGTGTTATGATGGTTGAGCGGTGGACCCCTTGGCTTATTCAGGACTGGAGGGAGTAAGACAGTTGACTCAACCATTCAAGGAGAAACCACCATCTCAAGTACCTCTTAGGATGGAGGACCTCAAGCATCTCTGGCCTGCCCCTGCGAGGCTGAAGATGAGCTCCTGGTTAGGCCTGGAGGACACTGATGCATCTGGACCTGCTTCATCTTGGTTTCCGCCCCGGTTTAGAAATGGAGGCTGGTCAGCTCAGTTCACACACGTTAAATCTTAAACCCTATCAGAACATGCTATGCTGAAACAAAGAAAACATATGTTGGTTCATTACAGCAGCCTGGCTCTCACATGGCAAGTTAAGACAAAGGCTGGATTCTGACAAACTACCCAAATCCACTTAAGTCTAGACTAGCATGTTGGCTTGTTTGATTTCTATCCCACCCTTTGTTCTGGAGCTTGAGGAGGCATGGATCTCTTCACTCCCAGTCCATCTTCACCATTACCTCGCCTGGCTCTTGAGCTGAGAGGGACGGACTGGCCCAGCATCCCCCAAGGACTTTCCATGATGGGGATGGAATGGAGTGGGGGCACAGGAATGTGGGTCTTCCTGTCCCAAGTCCAGCACTTTCACCATTGCTCCTCCCTGGCTCTTGGACTGAAGAAATAGGACTGGTGTGCTCCCTTGAGCATCTGGAGAAAATGCAATGAAGAATATTATTCTGTACCCAATTTTCTTTGTGCCCAATTTGTTATGTGCATCTGACTCCAGTTCAGACTGTAGCTGGTGACTGTTTGAAGATCAGGTTCTTTGAAGGACCCTCTGCATCCAACTGAATTTCCTTGGAACCCTTTCTCACAACCCTCCCCACCCAGTCAGATCAAAAGGTGGGGCCTCTCAGTGTCTATCCTTGTATTATTTCAGACTGCTTATAATTAAGGTGAAGAATGTGATGTTCCATGTGGTGACAATGCCGCTTCTGTTCTGACTCTGGAAGCAAAACTGGTTTTATATTTGTATGATGTGGGTTTGGTTCGACTTGATGTCAGAAGCTGTCTTGGCTGGAGCTTGCTAAGAAACCAGCCTACAGACCCCAACCTGAGTTCGGGATTGTCCCCTTCTTAATCGTAGACCCAGGCCCAAGAGAGTCTGGAAAGACCAGGAAGACCAGCTCTGCAGGACATGGGAGGGGGGTGATCCATGGGGCTGTTTTGTCCAGAAACAAGCAGCTTGATAAAGGGGAGACCTGTCCTAACCAGCTCCTTCCAGGCCTGCACAGTGAGCTGGTCACTGCTGGGGTTCACACTTATTTGGGGGGTTTCACTTACTGTGACGTGTGAACCAGGCCGTCATGACTTATTCATCAAATTGTAGTTAAAACAAATCATGGTTTACCACATTTCTGTTCCATCTTGGAGAAATGTTAACTAAAAAGGTTGGGGGCGGGGGGCTCCTGAGCTGGGTGAGCTTTGTCTGCCTGTCTGTGAGAAATTGTTGGAGGGGGTCAAAAGAAGGAGAGACATTCCCATGAAAAGGGGCTCCATGTCATCTCTGCTCA